TATTAATAAATTTTAAAATTAACTTATATATGACTGAACAACTATCAGAACTACAAATTGAATGTCAGATTTGAAAAGCCAAAGCCGAAGTCTGAGAACAAGCCTACAATAGATTATTAGTTAGACAATATGCAAACAATATTCCTTCACCCAAAACCACTGAGGATAATCTAAATGAACTCCAAGAACAACAAGTAATCGATTTTATTGATAAAGAAATTGTCCCTAAACTAGAAAGTGGTGAAGTCGGAGCAAAAAATATCTTAGTAGGAATGTTTTTAAACTGAATAAAAAAGTTAGCCATTGACTTAGCCAGCAAAGCCTTAGAACATTTAGTGGAAGTAGGAACTGAACGAGCCATAGATGCCGCTGGTTTTGCCCTAGAAAAATTACAAGACTTCTTATACGATAAATATCTAATGTCTAATGATAAGCAAAAAGAAAAATTCAAAACTAAAATATTAGAAAAATTCCCTCAAAGTGGTTTAGCCGATAAGTTAAGAAATGAATAATAATGGTGAACTTAAAATAAAGAAAAAACCCCAAGACCCCAGCAAGAAAAAAGTTTGTAGATTTTGCGAAAGTAATGATTATGATGAAAAATACAGCAATCATTTAAACAGTAAGCACAAAGACATTATAAATAATCGAAAATATTTAAGAAATATGTCAAATCATCTCAACGCCGAGCAATTGGAGGAAGTAAGACAATTTATTTTCAAACTTAAAAAAAACTAAATGGAACGAAGTCCCCAAGAAGAACCTCCAACCACTAAAAAAACTTGATGACAAAAGCATAAAGAAGATATCTTAATTTTGACTTCGATTGGCTCTTTTGTAATTGCTTTATTTCATTTTCTAATATCAATTGCTAAGTATTTGAAAAAGTAGGGAAAATATCCTTATCGAAAAGAGAAGTTTAAGTAATTATTTATTTTTGAAATATTCATAGATTGCATAGATTGCACGCTTGTCTGGATAAGCATTGCCTTCTCGTAAATAACCTGTTGTAGATGTATCATTTCCGTAAATAACTTCAAAACGTACCGCATAAGCAAGCGTGCCTTCAATGTGCCTAGGAATAGTAAAACGAACGTTGTTTGTTTTTTCAAGATAGGGAGCATTAAATCATTTATTCCATCAACCCTTTTCTTTATTTAATTCTTGTTGAATAGCAGTTAATTGTTGTTGGGTTGGTCTTTTTCTGTAATCATTAGTTCATTGGTCTAGGGTGATATTTGGCCTACTATCCTTTTCAGCAATCAGAGTGTTAATTTTTTGAATAACTTCTTGGGAACGCAAGAATAAACCAATTTGATTAGAATGTTGTCCTAAAATATCATAAACTTGTTGGTCAATATCTTGTGCCTCTTGGAATGATTTAGCCAAAGTGTCTAATTTGGTTCTTAACTCGGCTAATTCTTGGTCTCTTAATTCTTTACTGTCTTCATCTAAGTTTTCTAATTCTTTAATTCTAGTTTCTAATTCTTGTTTTTCCTCATCCAATCTTTTAATATCTTTTTCTAAATGACGGTTATATTCTATGCTAATTCCAGTAGCGGACTTTTCTTTTGATAATTTATCTCTTAAAGTAGCCGTAAATTTGGCTTGGTCAGCAAAGATTTTAGCCGAACCTTTTAAAATTTGGTCTAATTGGAGAAGGCGATT